TTGTACACACACACACACACACACACACTCACACACATATATATATATATATATANATATATATATATATATGTATATATATATATATGTATATATATATATATATATACATATACATACATATATATATAAATATAAATCTTTTATTTTTCAATGTTGGAGTGTGCGTGTCTATCATTTATATACATATAAACATATAATTTTCTTAGAAGTACATACTTGTGGGAATAATGCCCAACAGATCTATATATAAAAACATATATACATATGTATATATACTAGATATCGCACAGCTAAAACGTTTTATAGATGCGAAAGAAAGTACTCAATATCCTATGAATGCTTTGAGGAGCTCGTATACGAAGCAAAGTGGCAGCCTGTTACTTGTATTGACATGTTAGATATCATACGCAAATAGATACGACATGTCCAAGTTGCAAGTGTTTCAGACGCCACTTTATCGAATTCAACTGGATGAGGGACATATACATCTATACTTCAGATGCACAATTAGAACAGGCACTATATGTAACCGAGTTAGAACAAACAAACTTGCACCTCAGGAAAAAAAGTACACAGGCACACACACACACACATAGCTACACAGACAGACAGAGACACAGAAATACAGCTACACAGACAGATACAGACACACACGTAGCTATACATACAGATGCAGACACAGACACACAATAACACAGACAGATACATACACAAACACACAGTTACACAGACAGACACAGACACTCACGTAGTTTTACATGCAGATACACACACACACACACAGTAACACAGACAGATACAGACACACATACAGCTACACAGACAGACACAGTGACACTGACCCACAGACACAGACACAAATGTGGAACACACAGATAATCACAGATGCACTTACCGACACATAATCAGACGTGAACATCTACACAAACAAATACACAGACAAACTCAGTAACACACACACGAACACAGACAGACACAGACACACAGACACACAAAGATATACACAGTCACACACTGACACGCGCACAACATACAGACACACATACAAACAGACAGACAGGCATAGAGACGCAGACATACAGACACAGTCGGACATACACACACAGACATATACACATATAAACAGACAAACACGAGCACACATACACATAGACACACACATATACACACAGACACAGACACACACATACCTATGTACATACATCTACGCGTCGAAATTCTTATGGTGAATATAAATATAAGTGAAAACATTGCAGCAGATATTAATAGAGTACAACAAATGCAGAAATGCAAATTCCTATACCCGTACATATTGGCAGTCAAACTCACCCCCACGTGCTAACAACTAGCGGTACCACATTCTCGGCACTGTCTGTGTCCTGACTGCGTTCCGTGTGAGTACTACAGCTTCCCGACTAGATTGGTCATTGCGAGAGTGATGGTACATGCGTCAGTTGTGCTAGAGAGGCTCCGTTGAAGCTATTTGCGTGCCATGTGAAGAGGGAAATACGTTTATAGCCAGATGAACTAGGAAAAGATAGTCGCACGGCAGTCTACAGAGGCATGGACAAGTCAATGCGGGATATCAGCTTATAGTCGGTTGTACTAGAGAGTGCTGATAGTGCTAAGTAGTAAGTAGTCAGTTGCTAAGTGGTAGATGTCAATATGAGGATAAGAATGAAGACTGAGTTAATCGCACTACAGATGCAAGCAGGAGGTAAATATATTCAACTAAGAATAGCAGAATAAATGCGAAACAAAACCACCAAAATAAACGACCAAGCTAGTGATACTGTAATTACATGACCAAGCTATGTTTCACGGGAAGATGATGTAGAAGCCACGAATGATAGTGAGCGTTTGTAAACAAGAAAACTCGAACTATAGCAGTATAAACAAAGTAAAGGTTGAGTATAACATAATATATATTTTTTTTTGATTTGAGACCTCGAATACAACTGGGACTGGCAGTGCAATTGTGCCTTTCTGTGGACATACCAGAATCACTTACCTGTGAATTCGAATACTACGATACCAGCTAAAGCCACACCAACACTGTAAGTATATTTAAATGCATAGGGGTTATTGCCCGTAAAGTTGTGAAGCCCCATATACGTTTATGCATACATACTATAGTCTCTTACCTGAGAGTTCGAATACGACGTTAGCAAGAGCCATGCCAGCACAGTGCAAAGAATATTCAAAAGTATGGTATGTCCTGCCTTTGAGCCCAGAAGCGGACTGACCCCGACTGTACGCCCTGTAAAGTGACCTTGTTTGCTGTAGATACCTAACGTATTCATCTCTGCGGTTGTCATATCTTCCTATATA